TCATTCATACACATTCACACATTCTTAACCCCATATAGAACCTTTCTCTTGGTTTTTATGAAGTCCTAAAAATGACTTTTACACTCATGACCTTTCAGATAAGACAAAGATAAAATCATATACATATATTATGAGTAGAAAATCAGATTGAATTTTGATCATTTATATTGACTTACAAGCAACAAGGAAAGTTGGGAATGCTGCATGTGCAATTTGTCGTTGCAGAGAAATATGAATGTGGAGTGTGGAGGTAAAAAAAAAAATGCGAGTAAAATCAATTATTTTTATTTTATATTAAATGGCAAGAAACGATTGAAACGATGTATCGCCTGTATTATTAATTTCTATATAATAAAAAAATGTATTCATGTGATCATTAGCTTAGCCATCAGACTCATGCCGTCTAGCTCACTCATGCAACAGTTTAACAGTGTTGTTCTTTTTTGTTCTATTTGTAATTTTGGTAAACTGACCTTTGTGTTAGTTTTTACTAAGAATACTGGACCACAGAAACTATCTGACCAAAGTATTTCTTATTTTCAAAGAAGGTGATCCTGAAATGTTTACCTATGTTAAGACTCAATTTTTCACATATTTGAATGAACAGAAATCAATTTTAATTTCGAGGAACATACAATTGGATTTCAGTCCTTTTCTTGATTTCTTTTTAGTAGACAACAACCAATAGCAAAAAATATTTTGAAGTTGAATTGAGTACACATGAATTAACTTACATACAATTCAAACACCAACACAGCCAATATTACCCTACCCTGAGCCTAATCCCATAAGTTAGTCAAAGTTAAATAAAACAAAATAAAAAAAAGACAAGAGAGAATTCGCTATGGGACACTTTGGGGTACCTAATAAAGCTTATTGTGGTTTGTCAGTTGTGTAACTGACACTTGGTTTCTTTTTATTATATGAAATGTCATCCTTTTGCCATAGTGTTCCACTGGGATCTGTTCATGGACCATTTATTGTTGTTTATTGCAACTAAGTTAGTATGCTCTATTCCCCAAGAATCCAGGCATTATACAGAAAGTTTGTGAATTAGAAAGTTAGATACAGTCTTAAAATGGTTTAAATTGTTCTAATGTTGGTCTAATGTTATGTATATTTGGCAAAAATAGTGTGAAGATTGATCATGTCCCTTTATGTTCATACAGTCAAGAAGAAAATATATCCAGGACGTCTCATTTTAATCACATCCAAATTGCAAAAAAACCCCAGCAAAACAAAATCCCAAAACAAAATAAAACTCATGATATATATGCGGAAAAGAAAGATATACTGAACCCAAAAGCTTGAACCATATTTATGAAAATACAGATTAGCTAAACAAATCACATCACATGGAAGTACCTACATGTGTCCATTACTTATTCAATAAAAGACTATCATCTTGTTTCCATAGTCTGAATTCCCCAAACACATACGATATATACAGTATTAATGTATTTTGGAGGCCACAAGCTATGGAACTTCCTTCCAAAGGACATGATCAATCTATCTCAGAGTTTATTTATCTGCTACTTTTACTTTTCTTACAGTATTATTATGATACTCATTTCCTTTTTTAGTGTATGTGCACGAGTGTGCTAACAATGTTATGTTTTTGTTGTGACTGTGTAAGAGAGATGTTGATTCGATTATATGGTCGTTTTTGAAGTTGTAGACTGGGACTCTGCCAGGCGTCCATTGACATATGCGCATATCATGGCCCAGTCAGCCAGGAGGAGGGACACAAAAACCACAAATGGTGGTTTTCCACCAAATTAGCTTGGTTCGTTCAAGAGTCTTGGAACCTAGGTGCTATCTAGTTTCCATCAGTTTTGAGTGGAAACACTGTGACTGGATGCATCATCAACAGAGGGCACTGCACAATGCGCAACGACCTGTAGAATATGACACACCCACTTTGGTTCCCAAGGGAAACCTGCTGTTCTTTGGTTCACTAGATAGCACCAAGGTTCCAAGCATGAAGGAGCTAATTTGGTGGGAAAAAATTAGTGCCAGGGGGTAGAGGGAGGAGAAGGAGAAAGAGAAGGGGGGTTAACCCTAAACGAGTAAGGATTAGGGTCTGCCACTGGTTAGGGTTATGGTTATGGTTATGTTGGGTTAGGGTTAGGTTGAGGTGTCTCTGTATTGAATTACATTTTATTCCCCACTCCACACATTCACTATGAGCTTTACGAGTATTTATTGCAGGACTGTATCAGATTGCTTTACACTATACAGGTTGTTTGATTGTGTCTATGTCCTGTAGTTTATTATGAAGGCAGACACACCTGTATGGCCCTCTGAACACACTGGCAGTGCACAGCTGCAGGAATCATCTTCACACTAGTTGAAATATTGAAACATAGACAACAAATAATGAAATATAAATCTGTTGTTAGTTCTTCATTAGTCTCCTTTACAGCACATTTTTATTTTGATTTCCCTTTTTTCATAATGATAAAACATGTCATCACTAATCATCATTTCATGTGAAGTTTTCACTGATTCTGGTATGCAGGCATACCACCCCTTCTGGTAGTATGCAGATTATTCTATGTTCCGTAGACCTTCTGATCAGATGGTCATTTGAGGCTGAGGCCATGAGTAGCCGTACTAGCTACTGAACACAGTGTTCAGGTTCTGTCCCGTCCATCACTCAGAGGGCCAGTTAGTCAACAGCTGTAGTGGTGCGAGCGCAACAGGCCGGGGTTCGGATGGAGCCCATCATCCTGCTCTTCTTCCTCTGACTGCCGGTGTTCCTGCTCTGCCGGGAGGTGTTGGTGTTCTGGCGTGACAGCTTGGCCGCATGGATCGCTGTCTCCTTGATCTGCAGCTCCAGGTGTCTCTGGATGGCCAGACCCAGCTCCTCAGGGTCCACAGAGGCCCCATACACCTCCCATGTCATCCCTTCTGCATCCCACTTCACCTCTTTCACTGGGGACTTGGGAGCACCACTCGATTTCTTCCCTCCATCGCTGTCCGTGTTCGGGGTTTGGTTGCAGGCAGTGTCGCTCCTGCTCTCTGCTGCCAGACAGACCTGGGGGAACACGTGAGGTGTGATGGTCTGCCCTGTCTGCACCCCAACATCCCTCAGTACTTTGTGGGCTGTCATAGTCCCCATGTTGCGGGTCATTGTTCTGACGTGGCCAACGGGACTGCTGCAGCACTCCTCTAAACCAAAGGGCTTTTGAGATTGGGGCCCAGCACCAGGAGGCAGCGAGCTGATCCAAGAGCAGTTGAGGTTGCAGCACCGCAGCAGGTGTTTGGCATCCAGGCCTGTCTCACTGACAGAGGAGATGAGGCGAGGCAGGGTGAGGTGGTTCATCGGTGAAGGAGGTGCAGCTGCACGCTGGATGTCGCAGCTTGGCTCTAGGTGGCGTGGCAGCAGCTGGGAGGGTGCTGGGATGGGCTGGGGATGGCAGTAGGCAGCAAATGTGTCCTCAAAGTTGGCATGATGGAAATAAGAGCCGTAGCAGAGTGCCTTGTCACAGTTAGGGGGAAGATTGGCCTTTTTTTCAACACCCTCCACTTTGGCTGCTTTGGGGGACGAGACACAGACACACCGGGTCTGAGGCTGCTGTACGCCACCTTCTACACTGCTAGCCCCTCTGCAAATAGTGGTGATAATGTTGCACTGCTGCAGCTGCATGGGCTGCTTGCAGGCTAACATGGAGTGACGCTCAGCCTTATCTCCTCCATGGTAAGCAGGTCCATGAGTCTCACTGTCTTGAGCCGGGGGTGCCACTCCCTGTGTAACCAGAGGTAAATCCCCTGAGGGAATCCTGTGAACAGGCAGGGAGGCTGGCTTTATGCTCTGCACTGTTCTGCCAGCCTGAGGGTTCTCATTGATTGCATTCATGACTATCTTGTGGTGAGGTGAGGGTGTCTCAGCCAGACTATGGGGGTGGCTTGAAGCCCTGGAGGGCACACAGTTTTCAGATGGGCTTTGTTTTTGTTCACCAGGCTCTCCACCAACCACTAGACTGCTGTGATTATTTTCTCTGGCAGGAGTTGCCGAATGTTCTTTACAGATCTCACTGACGGCCTCCTTCAGCTCCTCCTGGCAGGTGTAGCCTGGTCCTCCTGCCAGTTTGGAAGGTGTTTTTGCCTGTGTAGAGCTCTTGGAGCGGTCAAAGAGCGGCTGACCAGAGAGGGATGATTCCAAGGAAACAGCTCCCCCCAGTGGGTACAGCTCAGTCACAGGATGCCCAGCCGCTGCCATGGTTCACCTTTAAGAACAAATAAAACACACAGTGGATGTCTCACACTTGATCAGCAACACAACACACACAGAGCACAGAAAATGCCATAATCGATCAATTTTGTAGCAGTTTTGTATGAAGAATTTAAGAATAACTATTGCTTACTGTATTGCTCCATTGATATTGGGTAATTTTTTTCCTTATGTAATGTAAAAAAAACGTTTGTACATAATTAGGCCTATTTTAGACAAGATGAAATTAGTTTTCTTTTATCTGGATTATTGTGACCTTTTTGGTCAAATTCTGACATTACCAACCAAGAACTAATTCAAAATGTGGCAGCTAGATTCCTGAATAAGACTAAAATTAGACTAAAAAACCCTGTCTAATACTTATCCTTATATGGTACCCCGACTGCTCATCTGGGCATCCACAGATCTGATTTGAATATTACTAACACATAAAGTTTTGCATTGTTATTTATCTGGCCACCAATCATAATTTATATAAATCATCATAGGAACCCCTTTAATAGAAAGGTGCTCTTCTATAGAGTTAGCATTTTTGCAGTGGCTAAAATGTAATATATTATTCATGGGGATGTTTTCATTACTGTGTAATCACCTTTTTGTTACCTTGGAATGAGCTGATTTTATAATGATACTTGGGGGTAAAGACAAGGAGTTGCAATGTGCAACTACACCATTAGATGCCACTAACACACACTGGTCCTTTGAGCGATTTTCACATTTTCTTCTACGAATTAAAAAAACTAACATCGTCCTGGTTCCTTCACTCTGTGGCAATTATAATTTTCACAAATTAACTCCAAATTTAAAATGTTAGGCTATGAAATGAACTACACCACGGTCACATAACTTCAACATCACCACCAGCAAACTTCCTAGTTGAGTTAATTTAATCTTGCAATTAAAATCTACAAGTTGTAAAGTTTGAGTCAGAATAGTTTACAAGATGTTGTGATAAATAAGTTTGCAATCACTTCAGTCATTTATTATATAATAAATATGTGCACATTTCAGAGATAAAATTCAGAGGAAGATTAGTAATGAAGCCTGCATGAGAATTGAGATCCTGCTATTTACTAAGCTGTCCTACCAACATCTGTTTTATTTCATGTGTAAGATGTTTGTGGGAAAGCAGAATTGTAATCATAAGTGGTTATGATGGTGCTTTTACATGCGATGGACTGTCATATGCACTCAAAGCAAAATCTCCCTCTCCAAACCACATTAATGTTACAGCAACTAGTGGGTAAAGCTTGTGTTAATAGATAGCAGATAATATGGCAGATAATAATAACGTTATGCAAAATCTGTTAAAAATAACATTAAATAAATAAATAAATTCAACAAGTGGCTTGATGAGATATCTGATGTGAAAGCCAAAAGCAACGTTAGACAGGAGAGCCTCACCCTATTGCCCTATTACTACAACAGAACTACATACATATACATATATTCTAATAGCTTACATGTAAAGATTTGTGGCAGTGGTTAATTTTGTGTTGTTTATTACCCCAACCATAAGATAGCAGTGTTGTAAACTGAGGGCAATGATTTTGGATGTTTTAGGGACTGTGAGAAATACAAATGCAGATCCCACTGTTCTGGTTGCATAAGAAGACTTGGTGGTGTGTTCTTTATATTATGACAGTTGTCCCTTAAATGAGATTTTAAAAATTGCAACATATACAATACATTGAATCACAACTCCTATATCGTGATATGGATCATATCGCCAGATTCCTGCCAATACACAGCCCTATTTCGATAAAATTTAAGGGTAACGGGTTTTTTTTCTGTGGTTAGCCTAGCTTAGCATAAAGACTGGAAACAAGGGTAAACAGCTAGCCTGGCTGTGTCCAAAGTTAAAAAATACAACACCTCGAAAGCTCACTTATTTGAATGGTGTATTTCATTTATCTGAACTGTATATAGCTAGTAGGGGATCTACATGTTGGAACTCTCTCTTACGTGCAGCCTCGCTGGCTATAGTGTGTGTTGCTCTGTACAGGCACAAACCTGGAAACCTCACAGCGACGACAGAACTTCAGGAAGCTAAACACAGTAGTTGCACCAACTGTTGTTCATCAAGCAATAATTCCAGCATCACTTTTACTTCTCTGTTTTGGTACAGATTTCAGTATGACAAGTTGGAAAACCAAACTCTAACTAGGTTAGCCATTAGCCATTGTTAGCAATACCAGTTGATGCTGTATTTTGCTCATACAAAAATATCCACAGAGGTCGATTTTTGAACTTTGGACAGAGCAGCTAGTGGTACTCGCCTTTATGCTAAGCTAGGCTAACCAAGTCATGACTCCAACTCTGTAGGCCCTATCTAGAGCCAGTGCTTGGTTTGTCCATTCTGTAGAAACATGGTGATTCAACATGACTGCCTCTGTAAGTAAACAGCTCATTCTAAGGTAACAAAAACAACAATTCCTATATTCAGTTGATTATACACTAATGAAAACATACCTATGAATATTATAGTCT